AAACACGCAAAAAAACAAAACCCAAATAACACAAAAGATGGGCAAGGGACTTGAAAAGACATTTCTCCAAAGAGGATTTACTTAGGCCACCAGATGTATGAAAAGATGCTCAACATCAGAAGATCAATAGGGAAATGCAAATCAAAACCACAAGAGATATCAGCTCATACCTGTTAAGATGATTATTATAAAAACAAGCAGAAGATAAGTGTTAGTGAGGATGTGGAGAAATTGGATCCCTTGTACGGTATTGGTAGTAATGTAAAATGATTCAGCTGCTATGGAAAATAGTATGGAGGTTCTTCAACAGATTAAAAATAGAACTATCATATGAGCCAGCAATTCCACTGCTGGGTATGTATCCAGAAGAATAGAAAACAAGATCTTGAAGAGCTATTTACATTCCCGTGTTCATTGCAGCATTATTAACAATAGACCAGACATGGAAACTACATTTAGTTTCCATACCTACATGTCCATCCATGAGTAGATAAAGAAAAATGTGGTGCTCTAGTTGGCTTGGCTCAGGGGATAGAGCGTCGGCCTTGCAGTCTCAGGTTTGAGTCCGGTTGTGGGCACATGCCTGGGGTTGTGGGCTCTATCCCCAGTAGGGGGCAAGCAGGAGGCAGCCGATCAATGATTCTCTCTCATCATTGATGTTTCTATCTCTCTCTCCCTCTCCCTTCCTCTCTGAAATCAATAAAAATACATATTGTTAAAAAAGAAACATGTGGTATAGATACAGTGGAATATTATTCAGCCTTAAAACGGAAGGAAATCTTATCATTTGTGATAACATGGATGAACCTGGAAGACATTACACTAAGTGAATAAGCGAGTAATAGAAGGACAACTACTGTATGATTCCCCTTATATTAGGTATCTAAAATAGTCAGACTTGCCCTGGCCGGTTGGCTCAGTGGATAGAGCATCAACCTGCAGACCAAAGGGTCCTGGGTTCGATCCTGGTCAAGGGCACATGCCTTGGTTGCAGGCTCCTTGGGCCCTGGCCCTGGTTGGAGGCAACCAATTGATGTGTTTCTCTCTGTCTCTCCCTCTCTCTTCCACTCCCTAAAAATCGATGGAAAAATATTGGATGGGGATTTAAAAAAAATAAATAAAATAGTCAAACTCACAGAAGCAGAGAATAGAATGGTGGTTGCCAGGAGCCAGGAGGAGGGGGAAATGAGTTGTTGTTCAGTGGGTACAAAGTTTCACTTATGCTAGATGAATAAATTCAAAGTATCCTGTTGTTGTTTTGTTTCTGTTTTAAGTCTGCTGTCTGGAGTCCCAGCCGGAGAAGTTCTGCTTTAGTTGTCTGGGGTGCCGCATGGTCTTGAGAATTTTAAACACTCTCTAGATGATTCCAATATGCAGCCAGGGTAGAGAAATACGTCTCTGGACCAGCTCCCTCACTGTACAGACGGCAGAGAGAGGCCCAGAGAAAGTGGAAGTGACTTGTCTGGTAAGATAAGTAATCCAAACCGAGGGCTCCTGACTCCCCGTCCTGGGTTCTGTCTAGCACACGGCACTGCCTCAGGCTCACCTTCTGTGCTTCCAGTCAAATCGTCTCCTGTTATGCTCCCTGGACACCCCAGGGTCACTCCTGTGTCAAATCCACAGCAATGCGAGCTGCCATTGGAGCGCTTATCATGTGCCAAACACCGAGCAAGTCAATGTGCTATCTCTAACCCACGCCAGCTCCCGAGGAAGGCGTGAGCATTCCCACTGCAAGAGGAGGAAGCTGATGTCCAGGGGCTTTAAGGGGCCGGCTGACGTCACAGCCAGCGAGAAGCCAGAACCTGACGCAGGTCTGTTGGACTCAGAGCCCAGGCCCTTCCGCTGCTCGCACTGCCATCTGCTCCCACCCGCCTCACCTTCTGGATGATCCCTTCAAGAGCCAGCGCTCATTTCACCCCCTTCCCCAAAGCCCTTCCGCCTAGACCACGGGGGTCTTTTTACCTACTCTCGGTTCCTGGCACTGATCGCCCACATTAGCCGTTTGGCCAGGCCTACCTCCTGTGGTAATTTATCTTGTCGTGTACATGACCCGTTTCCTTCTCCAGGAGTCTGGCGCGGAGGGGGACCTTCCTCTGACTGTGTTCCTGCCCTGGTTCTGTAGCTGTGTCCAGACATGGCGATGCCGCAAGATCATAACACCTGTCTCCCGTGAGACTCCTCCCCTGGGAATACCTGGAGCCGGAAAGCCTGTCAGCCCAGGGAAAGTTGGACATGTGAGCTGGGAAGGATGGGCCTTCTCCGGGCTGAGCCGTGTGGTGATGTTTACAAGCAGGCCTGTGGGTGTCAGTAGGAAGCCGAGTTTTGAGAGTGTGAGCGTCTCCGATGAAATAAAATCTCCGGCAGGAAAGAGTTTTTGCATCTTAGCCATCAGCCTGAACCTAGAATAACCTCCCCAGCATAACAACGAGGATGGCAACGTTCCCCACAGCCCAGAGCCGGGCGGGGCGGAGCCCCAGCTGCCCCGGTGGGAGCTTCATGTTTGCGCAGCTTTGTCAGATGCTGTTCCCGACTGAATGTGAGACGCCGCTTCCTTGTAGCTTCCACCTCTGCTACAAGAAAAGCAGGTGGAAACAGCCCCTGATCTGCATCTGAGCCTGGGCACGTGAGGGGCCTACCCCTCCGAGTCAGGCCTTCCACACAAGATTGACTATTCTAGGATGTTGCTGACACCAGTGGGGGCCCCACTGCTCTGGGCCGCCCTCCCTCCTGGCCTAAACATTGTCCACCCTCAGCGCATCAGGGACGGAAAGAAGCGAGCAACACACCTCTTCCCAGCAGTGTCCCAAGGCGCGCGCGTGCGTGCGTGTGTGTGTGTGTGTGTGTGTGTGTGTGTGTCTTCCTCAGTGAAGCTTCATTTTCACTTCTGTTCTTCCCAAGGGCTCCTCCCCAGTAACCTGTTCCTTACTTAGCCAACTCACTCTGCTTGAAAAATATAGAGGGATTATCACTGTACTTCCTGGTACCAGTTGTAGTCTTTAGAAATATGTAGAACAAACCCAATGTCTCTTCTGCTAGGGATATAAAGACAGACCCATCCATCCATTCATCCATCCATCCATCCATCCATCCATCCATCATATCTTTATTGGAAGCCCACTGTGTGCCAGGCACTGAGTCTCCTAGTAGGCAGTCTACTGCTAGGCAGGTCCACTTGTATTTATTTATTTTTAATCTTCACCTGAGGATATACTTTTACTAATTTTAGAGAGAGGGAGAGGGAGAGCGAGAGAGAGAGAGAGGGAGAGGGAGAGCGAGAGAGAGAGAGAGGGAGAGGGAGAGCGAGAGAGAGAGAGAGGGAGAGGGAGAGCGAGAGAGAGAGAGAGAAAACGTGATGTGTGAGAGAAACATCAATTGGTTGCCTCCCACAGGTGCCCCAACCCAGGATGGAACCGAAACCTGGGGAGGGCCCTGACTGGAACTGAACCGCAACCTTTCGGTGTACAGGACGATGTTCCATCCAACTGAGCCCCCTGGCCAGGGTGGGAGGTCCACTTTTACGTGGTGTGTTTCTGAGAAGGGAATGGAGGGATAAGGGAACTTGCATTTACTGAACATGAGCTGCCTATCAGGCCAGGGTTAGGTGCTTGTTTTACGTCCTTCTGTTGTTTAAGCCTTACACTGTCTAGTAAGGTGGATTCTCTGTGTCTCTATTTTTTTAAGGAGGGAGCTGAGGCTTAGAGAGCTTATATAATTTGATCAAAGACTCAACAGCCAGTAAGTGGTGGAGCTGGAATCCAGACACAGAGCTCCCCAAATGCAAACCACCAGGCTGTGGGCCTCACGTGCGAATCCCTAGAAGAGCTGAAGGGATAGCATGGTCCCTTCAAGTCATGTATCTGAAATAAATGCTACTTAAGTTTTCTTTTCAAACTTTCAAACCAAACCCCTCATTTTCTCTCTCTCTCTCTAACAAAGTTTACAAGTGACTGCTTTGTTGTTTCCTGTAGAAGTCAAATTTCCTGCCAGTGCTTCTCCATTATAAACTGAAACACATAACACTTGCCAAGGCATAGGAAAATCAATAGCAGTAATTTGGGTATTCATCCATTTGTTTTCTTTTAGAATTAGTTCTTATATTATATTTAATTGATAAATTGCAGTGATAATATCAAAGAACAATGTCAAGAAAATAAAAATTAACCCAAATCTCTTATCCTAAAACAACTATGTCCATTCTAATTCATACTCATATGTGTTTATTTTTTCAATTATAAATTCTTAATAAATATAGGCTATTACCATAACTCTAAATGTTTTATATTTTAATTATTTTCACTCAACATTATTTAACATCATTTACCCATGTTTCTATGTATTTTTCCTAATGATCACTTTCTTTTTTTCTTTTTTAATCCTCACCTGAGGACATTTTTCCATTGATTTTTAGGGAGCGTGTAAGAGAGAGGGAAAGACAGAGAGAAACACATCAGTTGGCTGACAGCTTTGTACCTGGTCCAATTCTCCCTTTCTCAAATCTAATCTCTATTCACGCTATTACAGTGACTTCCTTTTTATTCCCTTTCTCATTACATTACATTGAAATCTCAGAAATATGGAACACATGCTCTAAAGACACTCTTAGCTCAAATAGTTCAAGTGGAGTTTAAATAGTCTTTCTCCTACTCAATTTACCAATTTAGTGACTGTGTCTTAGCCCAAATTCTCTAGGTTACAGCGCCTGGGGTCAAAATTAAAGTGCTGATTTTTTTTTTGTGGGTGGAGGCCGAGTTTAGGAAGGTAAAAGTGAAGAAAAAGGCACATCAAGCAATGCAACATGATGCATTACCATGCCAGCAACGGCTTCCAACAAACCATGATGAGAAACAGCAGGCCACTTAGCAGGTAGATTCCTTGAGCCACTGGAGTCTCTGTCATGGCCTCAGGGGGGAATCGCAATCTTGAAACAGCCTGTGGAAGGGCAAAACGAGAAAAGTGCATCTGTTTGCTTCACTTCTGTCTCCCATTTCCCCTTTGTCAAGGCGTGTGCCACTAGAAGATACTTTGCCGTACTGCTGTGCAACTTCAGTGATGCATCATCCAGTCCGTTGACACCAGCCCCAGAAGGAAGATTTCGTGCCCTGTGTTACGGCATTTCGTCCTGAGAGGAAGAAGCAAGGCAGTGCAGGTGGGAGAATGTGCGGGCCATGCTGGTCTGAGCTTCAGTTCCGACTCCAGGGAGCTCAGCAGAGGCAGCGGCAGTCCAGGAGGTGAGTGCCTTTGGGAAAAAGGAAGCAGTCAGTGGAGTGAGGTTGTGCACTGTCCACAGCACAATCAGATACCACCCTCATCTTTCCACTGCAGTGCGCGGTGGAGGTCCTCAATGAGAGCGCAGCAAATCTAGATTCTCCTAATCTTTGTCTTGCTGATAGCTTTGCTCCGTTGGACACTTAAAAAAAATAAAATTGCCAAAACCGGTTTGGCTCAGTGGATAGAGCGTCGGCCTGTGGACTGAAAGGTCCCAGGTTCGATTCCGGTCAAGGGCATGTACCTGGGTTGTGTGCACATCCCCAGTAGGAGATGTGCAGGAGGCAGCTGATCGATGTTTCTCTCTCATCGATGTTTCTGACTCTCTCTCTCTCCCTTCCTCTCTGTAAAAAATCAATAAAATATATTTTTTAAAAAAGTTTAAAAATAAATAAATAAATATTGATTTCAGAGAAGAAGGAAAAGGGAGAGAGAGATAGAAACATCAATGATGAGAGAGAATCATTGATCCACTGCTTCAGCACGTCCCCTACTGGGGATCGAGCCTGTAACCTGAGCATGTACCCTTGACTGGAATCAACCCCAGGACCCTTCAGTCCGCAGGCCGACGCTACACCAACTGTGCCAAACCAGCTAGGGCCATTGAACACTCTTGATCACTCTCTCCTTGAAACTCTACCTTCCTCTTGTTTTCCTGATTAACTGAATAGTTTCTGTTCCTGCTTCTCTGGCTGTGACTTCTTAGGGACTTCTTCCTTCTCCCACCTCTTAAAATGAGATATTCTTTGTGGCTTCATTTTTAGCCTTCCTGTGTTTTCACTCTCCACACTTAGCTGTCTCCTATGCACTGGTAATTACCAAATCAATATCTGCAGCCCAAGTCTCTCTGCTCTAGATCCATGGAGATGATGGCTAACCTGTCTCTGCCTGATAACTCAGGTGGTCAAACTTAAAAGTCCTAGAAGTGAGCTCATCTTCTATCCTCTTTCCCAACCTTTACCAAACCTGCCTTTCTTCCTGTAGCTCTATGTTGTACATGTCACCAAATCAAGAATCCGGCAGTTACTTCATTTCTTCAGATTTCATATCCAATGAGTCACTATTGATCTTTCCTCCTAAATATCTCATTGATCCAGACCTCTTCTCTGTTTCCATGGTCACTGTTTTATTTCGGAACTGTAATCGCTTCCTACATGTTCTCTCTGCCCTTGACCTTGACTCCTTCAACCCATTTCTTCTGAACTGACCCTGCAATTATAACTTTAAAAGACAGATAATCATGACCAAATAAGGTTTACTCCAAGGATATAAGAAAAGTTCAGAGTTAAAGGTACCTACTCATATAATTTATGACATCAGTGTATCAAAGGAGAAAAATAATATGATCATCTTAACAGAATGTTAAAAGTTTTTTGATAAAAATCAACGTAGATTTTTTATTTAAGAAAATCTTAATGTGTTAATATTAGGGGATATTGATCTCAAACCAACAGTTAATATTATACTTAGCAATAAAGTATTGAAGAAGTATTCCATTAAAACTAATAATTTGATATTATCATTTAAAAATATATTTTTATTGATTTCAGAGATGAAGGCAGAGGGAGAGAGAAATAGAAACATTAATGATGAGAAAGAATCATTGATTGGCTGCCTCCTGCACGCCCCCTATTGGGGGTCGAGCCTGCAACCTGGGTATGTGCCCTTGACAGAAATTGAACCTGGAACCCTCCAGTCCATAAGCTGACACTCTATCCATTGAGTCAAACCAGCTAGGGCTGTCATAATTATTTACCATTACTCTGGAATTGCTAATCAATGAGGGAGGTATAAATATTAGATAGGAAGAGAAAAAAATGATCATTATTTGAAGATTATATGGTTGCTTGAAAAACCATCAGAAATAATACAGAGTTCAAAAAGTTTGGCAATTATGATAGAAATATTTAAAAAACAATAGTTTCCTTATGTATGGGCAATAATTAGTTAAGAAAGATAATGGGAAAAAGAACCCATATATCAAGGCAATAAAAAATAATCAAAGTACCAAGTAATAAACTTAATGACAAGTGTGCAAATCTATAAAACTTTACCGTCTAAAGTAAAATGTAAGTAAAGGGAGTGATAGTCTATATTACTGTACTGGAAGAGTAAATATTATAAAGATATTAATTTTTTCTCAAGCTAAGCCTATAAATTTAACAAAACCCCAATAAAAATACCGAGAACTTTTTCTTTTAGAACATGAAAGAAATCTATTTTAAAGTTTATTTGGGAAAACTTTTGCACAGGTTTTCAGGTACTCAGAATGCTCTACTATCTTTTCGTTAAGAAAGGATTGAAATACACTCCTGCTGTGCCCCCTTCCACACTTATATCCTTAATAATCCTCAACATATATCTCTATATCCTTAAAAATCCTTAATATATAACATGGCACTGTCTATAATAATAACAATCTAAGTGTCCAAAAGTAGGGGAAATATGCAGTCACTTCAAAAGAGGTAGAAGAAGAATATTTAGGAACAAAAACTATTTATGGAAAGGTATTTAAAATAAAAAAGCAGTAATGGAAATGCAGCCAGCAGGTGGAAAGGAGTTAGTTTGACAACCTGGCACTAGGTTTCTGATAGAGAGGGACTGTTGATTTAGCAGCAGAACTTAGAATCTCATTGTAGTTTAGAGCAAAGCAAAAGGAGTGCTCAATTGCCTGGTGCAAAAGGGGAAGGGAATTGCAAATGAATGTTTTGGAGTTCATAGCTAGAGGAGATTGAATCTGGAGAATAAAAAGGTTAGGGAGGGAGGGATAGAGGCTGGGCAAGTGGAGAAATGGCCCATGAGAATTTTCCAGTGATAAGGATGAGTAATGAACTCCTAAAAGAACTTCTCCCTAGTCTCAGTTCTAAGTTGTGCTCTGAGTTCTTCTTTGTTTTTCTTTAATATAAGCCACCCTCTTTTGCTCCCAAATCTTGCCTATAAGTTTGCTTGTTTTGACCATATTTGGGAGAGAGAAGGGGTTGGAGAAGTATAGAAGGGACAGTTTTGTCCAGGAGGTGAAATGAGGAGTGGGGATCAAGGTAGAAAATCTGAGCTATAGGTGATCAAAAGAAATATACCCCCATTCCTTCCCTTCCTCCAAAAAAGTCCCCAGAACCCTCAGAGACACTGCAGGGGCTTGGGTTTCATGCCATTTACAGGGTAGGGGTTTGAGCAGAATTCTTTGATTTATCAACAGCTGGGGAGACTCCAGAAGGTTGGGGGCCCCTGTCAAGTACACAGGGGATAGGAGTGAGGAAGCTCAGAAAAAGCTGTTCGGAAGGATACCAGCCTCTGAAAGTTACTTATGATACTAAGATTACGAACAACATTTATTTTCTTGTGCTCATCTGCATTTTAATTCTTCTAGAGCAAATCCACGTTACTTGTGTAATTTTAGAAAGAAAAATGTACTGAGGGAATAGCTAACCCAGTGATGGCGAACCTTTTGAGCTCGGCGTGTCAGCATTTTGAAAAACCCTAACTTAACTCTGGTGCCATGTCACATATAGAAATTTTTTGATATTTGCAACCATAGTAAAACAAAGACTTATATTTTTGATATTTATTTTATATATTTAAATGCCATTTAACAAAGAAAAATCAACCAAAAAAATGAGTTCGCGTGTCATAGGTTCGCCATCACTGAGCTAACCCAGAGGCAGAAAGCTGATTGCTGACTGCCAGGGGCTGGGGGTGGGGGGACTGGGAACTGATTCTTTATCAGGCATGGGTTTCCTTTGGGGGAAATGAAGATGTTTTAGAACTAGATAGAGGTAATGGTTGTACAACGTTGTGAATTTACTAAATGCCACTGAGTTGTTCATGTAGAAGTGATTTATTTTGCCTTGGCTCATGTGGCTCAGTTGGTTTGATTCCTGGTCAGGGCACATGCCTGGGTTCAGGACTTGATCTTTAGTGGGGGGTGTGCAGGAGGCAGCTGATTGGTGTTTCTCATCAATGTTTCTCTCTCCCTCCCTCTCCCGTTCCCTCTCTCAAAACAATACAAATATACTTTAAAAAATGATTTATTTCATGTTATGTGAATTTCACCTCAATAGAGAAAAAAGAAAAAAAAATCTACCGAGGGGAAAAATATACAACATAAATTAGATTCTGTCCCTCTCCTGCTTAAAATCCTTCAGGGACACCCTAACTCTTTAGCCTCGCAGGCAAGGCTCTTCATGTCCCAGCCCTGCCGCTGCTCCACCACAGCCGTCCCTCCCTGTAAACCTTACTCCCCAGCCATACAAAGCCCTGCGCGGTGCTCTCAAAGGGCCTATTCTTTCCTGCCTCCGTGCCTTTGTATGGGTTTTCTTTCCCTGGAATGCCCTTCCCCTGAGTTACTTTCCACTCATCCTTCAAAGCTCACCTAAACTTCTCCTTTGAGCAGCTTTCCCTGATTGCATAGTCTGGGGTTACCTCTTTCCTGTACCCCCAAGAACCTTCTGGACATTTCTCTATTTTATCATATAGGTGATTGGGAACCCTTGGAGGACAGGGCCTGGGCCTTTACTCTCTTTAGCTTCACAACCTGATCCAGGAGGAAGCCATAATGAATGTGAAATGAGGGAGAACAGAAATGAATGTGAAATGATGAGATGAAAGTAGCAACCTTTTCTAATGTAAAGGGTAGTTACACAGGGCGTGAAATTGAAAATGATTCAGAGGTGTTTAACTGGCTTACCATGGCATTTATCATGGAGGAATGAATAATCCTTTATTTTTCTTCTTACTTTTTAAAAATATATGTTTTTATTGATTTCAGAGAGAGGAGGGGAGAGGGAGAGAGAGATAGACACATCAATGATGAGAAAGAATCTTGAATGGCTGCCTCCTGCACACACCCTACTGAGGATCGAGCCCAAAATGTGAAATCGAACCTGACCTCCTGGCTCATGGGTTGATGCTCAGTCACTGAGCCACAGCAGCTGGGCTCTTCTTACTTTTTATGAATTATTTAGGAGTTGAAACAAAAATAAAAATTCCCAATAACAGGTTAATAAAAATGTCAATTTAAGTAACAAAATAGCCCACATGGGGCTTAGAGGGTTGCAGAATTCTGATGGTCTTAGGAAATAAGGCTAAAAACTCAATTACTCTTACAAAAAGAAAACTCATGATGGGTAATAAGTAAGATTATTTTTTGGTCCCAAAACTAAGATATATTATTCCATCTTAGGATGGTGTTGAAAACACCTGTCTTACAGGATTTTAAATGAATCTAAGTCCCTAATGAAATAATGAATGTATGCAAAAATCATTAATGGTTGCCAAAACTATTCAGTGAAAGGTTGATGAGGGACTTTATAAGGTTGTATCAGGCTGGTAACCCCTGAATCTACTGTTCAACCTTAGTGTTACTAAGAGTGGGACAGCCAGCCCTGCTGGTGTAGCTCAGTGTTTGAGCGTTGACCCAAGAACCAGGAGGTCATGGTTCAATTCCTGGTCGGGCACATGCCCGGGTTGTGGGGTCGATTACCAGTGGGAGGCATGCAGGAAGCAGCAGATCAATGATTCTCTCTCATCATTGATGTTTCTCTCTCTTTCTCCCTCTCCCTTCCTCTCTGAAGTCAATAAAAAAATACATTTTTTAAAAAAGTGGGCCAGCCAGGCTTAATTGCCCCCTGATAAGATGCTGTAGCAACTACACATAACCATTTAAGTAATAGTCTTGCTAAAAGAATTGAACCTGAATTTAACAAGTCTCTAACACCAGACTGTGAGAAATATAAAGGAAGAGAAGCATGTTAAATTATACCATAAGGACAGAAGAAATCAAGTCAAGAAGATGGAAAAATTCTGTAAGACAAGTGATTCATTTCTTTAATAATTAAATCTTATGAAGAAAAAGGGAGATGGAAATTATAGATTGAAGGAGAAAAAAATTTAAGAGATACATTTGAACAAAAAGGTATTTTTGAGATAATCTGGGAAAATTTACATGAATTGAATATTAATAATATTAAGGAATTAACTTTATTATGTGTGATAATGGTATTTATCAGACTATATGTTTTTTAAAAGCTCTTATTTTCAGAGATTGAAATATTTGTGATGAAATGATGTCTTGAATTTGCTTATTGCCATGCCTGGTTTGGCTCAGTGGATAGAGCATCGGCCTGTGGACTGAAGGGCACATGCCCGGGTTGTGGGCTTGATCCCCAATAGGGGGTGTGCAGGAGGCAGCCAATCATTGATGTTTCTATCTCTTTCTCCCTCTCCCTTCCACTCTGAAATCAATAAAAATATATTTTTTAAATGCTTATTAAATAGTGTGTGTTGGAGGTAGATGAAACAATGGTACAGAATATTAAAAATAGTTGACTCTGGCCCTAACCAGTTTGGCTCAGTGGGTAGAGCGTCAGCCTGCAGACTGAATGGTCCCAGATTTGATTCCGGCCAAGGGCATGTACCTTGGTTGCAGGCACATCCCCGGTAGGGGGTGTGCAGGAGGCAGCTGATTGATGTTTCTCTCTCATCGATGTTTCTAACTCTCTGTCTCTCTCCCTTCCTCTCTGTAAAAAATCAATAATAAATAAATAAATGAATAAAAATAAAAATAGTTAACCCTGGATGATAATGGACACATGGATTCATTATACTATGCCTTCCCCTTTTTTGTATGTTTGAAATTTCCATAATAAAAAGTTTTCTGACTCCATTTCACTTCAGCCTGCCCAGTTCCCATAATGTTTGGATTAGCAAATTTTCCTTAGTTCTGCACATCAAAATGCTAATTACTAAGGGAATCAAACCTGTAGCCTAGGAATTATTGAAACAACCTCCGGGCTTGAAACTACCTCCCAAGGAGATAGGAAGGTATGTTTATCAAAAGACTTTTAATCCCAGGTGGCTTGGCTCAGTGGTTGAATGTTGACCTATGAGCCAGGAGGTCACGGATTGATTCCCAGCCAGGGCACATGCCTGGGTTGCAGGTACAATCCCCAGTGTGAGATATGCAGCAGGCAGCCAATCAATGATTCTCTCTCATTACTTATATTTCTATCTCTCCCTCTTCCTTCCTCTCTGAAATCAATGTATATATATAAAAGCCTAAGTGACTGTTTGACTGTTCAACTGTTCGACCATCAGCTATGATACGCACTGATCACCAGGGAGCAGATGCTCAATGCACAGGCATGGAAACATGGACCAGACTGATAAATCTCAGAGGAAAGGGGAGAGGGCAGAGAGAGATTAACCAAAGATCTTATGTGTATACTAGAGGCCTGGTGCACAGATTCATGCATGGGTGGGGTCCTTCGGCCTGGCCTGTGCCCTCTTTCAACCCGGGACCCCTCAGGGGATGTTGGACTGCTGGTTTCGGCACAATCCTTGCAGGCCAGACTGACCCCACCAGTGCACGAATCCGTGCATCAGGCCTCTAGTAAGAATATATTTAAAAAAAAAGATTTTTAGGAATCCCATGACTGACACCAAGGCAAGTGGTTTGTTGATCACAAGCAAGGAGGTTTCACCATCCCCTTGGACTCTTGCTGCAGTCCAAATGTCAGAGGTCATCAGTTGCCTCCTAACCTCAAACCCCTCCATATCCCTCCCTTCCCCTGGCATAAAGGAAGCCTGAATTCTGTAGTTTCTCAAGATGATTCTCTAGGATGCTAGTCTGGGATCTTCTGGGTTTCCCGGCTTTCCGGATAAAGTCATTTTCCTTGTCCCAACTCCCTGTCACTCAGCTTATTGGCTGTTGTGTGGTGAGCAGGTCAAGCTGCCCCTGGATTGCAGTGTTGCTACCTCTCCAACCTTTTCCTTTTTATCTATGACTATATACAGGCAGTGCTTCCACATGCGTATGGTGTGGGTTTCTGTTAAAACAAAAATGGGATCATCTATTGCATATTGTTCTGCAATTTACTTTTTCTACACCACAATACACGGTGTTTCTCTTTTTGTCGGTTCATGCGGCTCTGTCCTTGCGAGTCGGTAAGCGGTGCCATGCATATGCCTTCGCTCCCAGTTGTGAACCGTTCTGTGAGCTAGAATCCTACAGCGGAAGTGTTGGGTCAAAGGGCGCGTGTCAGTACATATCTTGATGGCACTAGGAAATGATCCTACTGCCCCTCCACCGGTTGCTATTTTCACATGCAGAACGCAGTATTATCTATTTTCTATCCATTTCTACGTTGCATGCTGACAGACTGCCCTTTCTGGTCCGGCTTGTTTCTCAACAGGCACTGAAAGCGTTTCAGAGAGTAACTGGGTTTGAATGGCAAAATATCCGCCCCGCGGAAAACAGCCAGGCTCCATCCCGCTGTTGGCTCCTGTCCGAGGGTGAAGCCCGCGCGCTGTTTTCAGGGCTGACGGTAGCGGTGGATTGCGTAAAGTAAAGGCAGTCCTGGTTTCCTTTGTGAAAACCCAGTGAGGACCCTGTGCGGCGGGATCCTGAAGGGAAAGCTGGGAATAAAGCCTCCTCTCAAGGCTGTCCCGTGGATGGCAGCTGTGAGAAGGTGGAGGAGTGAAAAGAGGGAAAGGAAACGCCGCTTCAGTTCCCCCGGGGGTTCAGGATCTCACTTTCTCCTCCCGCTGTTCCAGTGACTTTTAGCGAGGACAGTTCCAGAGAAGGGTGGTTTTTAAAAAAAGAAATCCAAGTGGAATTTAGTTCGCCCTTCCTTATGTAAGAGCACCTGTCATGGGGGCACCGTAGTTCCAGGCAGAACTCCTAAGAAAGGTCACTTTGTAAGCCCCCCTCTGTGGGGGGTGGGGGGTGCGGAGGGGGGAAGGGGGGTCAACAATTGCCCTTTGTCCGTGCAGCCCTCCCATTGTCCCGCAGTAGAGTTGCTGCTGCTCCAAACCGCTGTACTGGGTTTGGGCAAGAAGACATTATTCCATTGTGTTGTAGGAATTAGATCAGTGAGGGTAATGTCATTCATGATGCAAGGCTTTCCCTGGGTCCTGGCTGCTCCAGATGCAGGAAATCACGTGCTGCCCGTTGCTGACTGTATTTCTCTAGAGCCGTAGGCAGTAGGCATATAGACAGTGACCTGGGTCAAATGAGAAGCTACTGACGTTCCAACAATCTTGACTTTTTTTTTCAGGTGAAGTAAAATCAACATTTTATATATTGATTTCTGAAACAATGCTTGTGGAAACAAGAAGCAAATGCCCTGGTCTCTCTTAGACTTAGGGATAGGTTTTAATTAAGTCCAGGTTACAGCTCAATAAGATATCAACAACATTTTATTGTATTTGACCTCTAAAACACCATTTGTCTTTTTTTTTTTTCTTCTTAGCCCTGGATAAAGTCATCTGCTAACCATAGCAAATGGCCAGTTTGTATGTATTAACATACATGACGTCTTGATTTTTCTTTGGCAGGTAACTTTATTTTGACAAATATTTAATGTGCTAGGTACGGTTCTCGGTGCTAAGGATAAAGCAGAACAAAACAACATAAAGCCTTGCCTTTGTGGGTTTATTATATGTCAGTGGGGAAACTTCATTCATTCATTCACTCATTTATTCAACTAGCACTTACCTTCTAATCTGACTCGGGCCTTACACCACTCACTGTGCCTAAAGAGGATTTTACCTCTGCCTCAGAGTCTAGCGGGAGAAATAAGCCATGTCCCCTCGCCTCCCCTGCTATCCTCCACGTAGAGAGTATAGAAGAGGGGCACCTCCTTTAGCTTGAGTGGTTCAAAGAAGGTTTCTGAGAGAAGATGACAAGGAAGATGAGTGTGGAAGGATGACCAGATGAAGGAGAGAGGCAGTCCAGGTAGTGGTGAGACAGAGCATGGCCTTATAAGGTCTGGTTCAGGGGAAGTCAGTGAATGCTGTTGAGTGAATTAATGAAACTCCCCCAGGAGAACATAAACTCCATGAGCTGTGATCTGGGAACTGCCAGTCCTTCCTGTGGCGGAGTGTAGTGTGTGGGGGTGAGGGGTAGGAGTGGGGGCTGAGAAGGAGGCAGGCTCTGAGTGTGAGGTAGGCCTGCCTAAGGTGCTTTGTCCTGATGACAATTAGAACATTTGTGGATCACTTTAAACAGCAATGTGTTATGGTCTGAACGTATTCTATTCTTTTCTTAGTAAAAGTGTATTTTAAAAATTACACAAATGATATCTATTTTAGAGGACTTCTTAGGGACCTTTTGTAAGAGCAGTGATTTCATTATGCTACTTCTGTAACTGGTACATGGCTCTCTCTTTCTGTGTCACAGTGGAAAAACCTTTCTCCCTCATTGGACCTGACACACATAGGCTCTCAGTAAAGGTTTGCTGTTGTTGAAATTCCATGGGCAGCTTAGGCAAGGCTGTGATCTGGCCCAAAAGCGCCACTCTGAGAAACAGGGCTTCACCCCCTAGCTGGGAATATTTAACAATTCCCACCGCTGCATAATTGCCACGATACTTTAAAAATCTCTACTTTTTATTATGGAAATATTCAAGTATTATGTAAAAGTAGAAAGGATGGTATGATAAACCCTCATGCACCCATCACCCAACTTCAACAATGAACAACTCACAGCCAATCTTGTCTCATTTCTATCCTACCCTCTCCCTACCACTGCATCATTTTTAAAGTAACCACCAGACATCATATATTTATGTATGTATCTCTCAAAGATAAGAACTTATTTGAAAACATATCCATAATTAGTACCTCTAACAAAATAAAGAACCATTCTTTACTGCCCTCCAATGTCAGTGTTCAAATTCCAATTGTCTAATCTTTTAAAAAGTCGTTTTATTTGAAACATGATCTAAACACGGTCCGCATTTGTACTGGATTGATGTTTCTTTTTTTTCTCTATATATTTTATTGATTTTCTACAGAGAGGAAGGGAGAGAGACAGAAAGTCAGAAACATCGATGAGAGAGAAACATCAATCAGCTGCCTCCTGCACACCTCCTACTGGGGATGTGCCCGCAACCCAGGTACATGCCCTTGACCAGAATCGAACCCGGGACCTCTCAGTCCGCAGGCCAACGCTCTGTCCACTGAGCCAAACTGGTTTTGGCTGGATTGATGTTTCTTACGTCTCCTTTAGTCAATTGGTTCCCCCTTTTTCTTTTTCTTGCCTTGATTGCTGTTTATCTAACTATGGGCTCTTAAGCAGAATGGAGAAGTCGAAGACAGCACCGTCAGGGTGTCCTTTTCCTCCATGTTCACCTTCACAGATTTTTTTCTAAACCCCTGATAATTTTTAAGGTAAAGAATTGTGTCTCATTATTGCTAATCATTCTTCTAATTTGTGGAGCATGTCTCATGTTGCCTGGTTACTTTTAGCCAACCATTATCCAAGCATTGAGATACATGGTGATCGTACCATACACAAAAATGAATTCTAGATGACATAAAGGGTTCAGTGTAAATAAATAAAACAAGAAAAACTGCAAGAAATATATACTGAACTTATTTTTGAGAAGATGTTATCTAAACAGAAAGCAATGGAAGATATCTCAAAGGAAAATGTCAGTAGGATTGAATATATGCTACATTAAAACTTTTCGGTCAACCAATACAAAATGAAAGGACAAATGATAAACTGGGGCCTGGTCTAGCTGCCACTGGGTCCAAATGGGTCCACTCACAGTATTCTCCCCAGTCCTAGTTCTATAGATCACATCTTCTTGATGATCTAGAAGTGTGTGTTTTTCCCTCAGGACCTCCTACCCCGATTATTCACTTGAGAAGCCTTAGGGGTGAGGGTGAGATTTTTATAGTTGGCCCCTTCATTCTATCTGTTGGTCCCACCATCCTTCTGCTCTGCTGGGCCACTGCTGGTCTCATCCCTGCCACTGACATCTGGCCCTCTTCTTCCCCTCTAACAATCAGGAAAATACCCTCTACTTCTTCTGACTGACTATATTGCAGGGGGTTTCCTGCAGGAGAGCTGCTGGGCCCCTGATGACCCAATTCTCTTCATTATATCACAGTCCCTTCTATCTGAGAACTCACGAGCACTCTTAGGATGAGGGAAGAATGAAAGGGCAGCCCTGGCCTGGCAGCTCTTACGGTTAGAGTGTCATCCTGATATGCCCAGGTTTCAGGTTTCAGGTTTCAGGTTCAATCCCAGTCAGCCACATACAAGAATCAACCAATGAATGCATAAATAAGTGGAACAACAAAAATGGATCTCTCTCTCTTAAATCAATAAATTTAAAATAAAAAAGAATGAAAGGGCAAATTAGAGGATGATCTGGTTCTGGTATTTAAAACTATATCCACTCTGACTGCCAGGATCTGCTGCATATATTATTTCCTGGCTGCAAGTGACAGAAGCTGATGCTGACAAATTAAGCAGAAAGGGGCTTATTCAAAGAATACTGGGTAGCTCAGAATTCTTGGAAAGACTGGAGGCAAGAGTCTTGAGGCTAAGCTTCCAAGAAAATCACTCAAAATTATGCAGAACAGCGGCCTAATGAGAAAACCAAGGCTGCTGCCCATTCCCACTCAGCAACTATACTCTGCCAGGAGCTCAAGTTGATTGCAACCACTGCGGACAAAGGCATCAATGCCACTTCTGCATCAGGAACTCAACTCACAGACCACTCCAGTCCCCAAACCACATGTCTCTGCTACCACCCCCACAGCAAAAGGAGTGCACTATGAAGTCCTTTCCTTCTCCTAATCCCTTCTTCACCAGAATCTCACATCTGACTGGAAGAGTGCAAATCACACGCCTGTGTTCTAGCTGCAGGGGAGTGGGAGGGGCATGAGTATTCTGCCTTCTAACTCGGTGGAACTCAGAGGGGAAAATTCTCCTAACTTCAGAAGGGTGTTCAAAAGGCACTGGGTACCCAAAAAGCAGGACAAATGTTCGCCAGCATGAATGACTTAGGCTGCTTTATGTATAGCAGGAGGGGCTGGTTTGTTTAGATAGGGTAGAATTTTAACTAATGATTAAAATATGAAATAATATACCCACAAGACTATTCATGGAGGCATTATTTTAATAGCAAAAGATTGGAAACTATCTAAATGTCCAGTAGTAGAGTTTCGGTTGAATAAAAATCATCGCACATTGGTATACCCATGGAAGACAATGCACCTGAAAATGAAGGAGAAGGAGTGATCCTGGAATATACATCAGTGAAAAAAGTAAAGTGGAGAATTTATATATATACTAAAGGCAC